TGACAACGCCGGGAGACTCCACGAAAGCATCATCGCAGGAGCACTTGTAGGAGATAACGGCGCTGAACTTGTAATACGCGTCGACCACGTTCTGCTGCGCCACCAGATCCACGGCCTCCTTGATGGTGTCGACCATGTCGGCGTACTGCGACTTGCAGATGCCGAGGGCGTCGAGGGCGGCGGCCTCGGTGGCGGGGTCGTCGAGGAGGGCGGAGATGTTGGCGGCGATGTTCTTTGCCTCGGAAAGGGTGGCGTTGATCTCGGTCTCCAGGGCCTTGACGGGGTCGAAGGTGCCGTCGAGGTAGGGGGCGATGGTTTCGGCGCAGAGGCTGGGGTTCTCGGTGCCCGTGCAGAACTGCAGAATCTGCGGGCTGAACTCGTGGGCCACGTGGGCTATGAGGCCTCCCAGGCTGATCTTGGATTCTTGGAAGTTGGGCTGGGCGATGGGGGCGGCGCTGGGAGGGATGTTAACGTCAAAGAAGCGGCTTGAGGGGACCGCGGTGGCGGAGAGGAGGAGGCATGAGAGGGTGGCGGCGATGAGGATTGTGGAATGATCCATTGTTTCTTCTCTCTCTCTCTCTCTCTCACTCAATCTCCTTCGAGACGCGTTATGAGAGTAGAGAGACAACGGACAACTGGGGCTGTGCTTTGTTCACAGTGGAGGAGGGGGGTTTTATAGTTGTGGTTTCCCCCCCAAAGTTTGCATCGTTTAGTTGGATCCGTAGTTTGCGTTCCGCTTCCAGTGGTTCTTTTCTTGGTAAGTGAATTTCACCCTCACCTTCCTGCATAAATATCTATATTTGCCTATAGGCTATAGCTTCATTGATTTTTTTTAATTATTTTCTTATCATTCAAGATTTTTTAATTGAATTTTTATAATTTAAAACACTTGTAATTAAATCTTTAATGATTAGCGCTCTTGAATTCTTATTAAATACTATTACTGTACTTATTATATATGAAATTTTTGTATATACATGAAAAATTACGATCCCCTTTCA